CGGACGGTTTTGGTTTTGGTTTTGGTTTTGGTTTTGGTTTTGGGTGGGTCCGGGTGCAAAGCAGTCCACGCAGGCAGTAGGCTTTGTGAGTTACGACGGTCGAGAGGTACGTATACGGTTCAGTGTGTAACGGAAGAATACCAGAGTCAACGATACGTCCAGCTTTCGCCGGTGATAAATAAATGATGAGCTGATGAATTGATGTTAAAGACTGCTGTTGGTATAAGCGTTACAACTGTCGTTATAAACATGTGAACCGACTTCCGGCAATGTCCGTGATGTTTACAACCGTTTGCGTTTATCTTCGAGTTTATAAGTTGAATTAATGAAAAACAAAACACCAAGCGAGGTGTGCGTTTTGATAATGCTTAGATGCGCGTTTTTTCGCACTTCTGATCGATCGAGGCGCGCGATGGCGCGCGAGCGCGATCGCGCGCCTTAAAACACAAGGACTGCAGTGCTACCGTCATCCGAAATGTAGGCAAAAACCTGGGGCAACCCATTACTCATGCATGGGGGTGAACTGGCACTTCTATTCTAATAAACATGCACACCTGCAATGCAGATGTGTTTAATTTATTACTCACAGCTGAGCAAAATTGTCGCCTGCCTGAATATACTTGGATTTTAGCCTGTGAATTTCAGCAACTCGATGAAATTAGGTTATCTCTACTTTCTTGACTTATCACCAACGTACGAAGGGCGATGCCATCTTTGATTATTGATTACACTTCCACGCGTCATCTCGTGGCAACTATATAGGCCTGGTGTAGTGGCCCTAAGGGTAGCCAACTACGGTATGACAGGCGTTATATATAGTTAACGCGTGTTTAGTTGTATGGATTCAGTGTTCGCTCCTGCCATCAGGCAGGACGGTGATGCCCATAGCAAATAACAGGTGGTACCAATGGAACAGAACACAGTTAGATTCGGTTAACTGTACGGTTATAGTTTTATTGCTTAAAATTCCTACTGGCTTACAAATAATTCCCCTGCCTTCGTATATGCAGCGGATCCTATAACCACTAGACTACGATTAAAGAATGAACGCGTCGCCGGCTTCGTCTTCCTCTCTCCCGTTCGTCCTTTCTTCGCGTGGACCTAGGTAGCCTCTAAGGGTGTCTCCCTCGTAGTCGCTCCTGGCCCTACCTAACTGAAATCCCGTTCTTCTCCACCTGTAGTGAAAGATCCCGGCTGAGCCCCCATTTTACCTGTAGTCTTCTTTCCTTTCTGAAAACCCGTGCTTCTATTCCCTCTGTTATCTCTCTTCCCGAGACCTAAAATGCTTTCTCCCTCTTTCTCTTCCGCTTCTTCTTCTTCTTCTTCTTCTTCCTCTTCTTCCTACCTAAACATAACCTGAAAAATAACGCTCTCTCTGCTCGGTTTGGCGCGCCTTATATACCTAGCTGGCAACGCCCCCCCACGCAGATTTCGTTAGCTGGTGCAATAGTTTCACCTGCTGACGCAACCCGTTGCTGATACGATTATTGCACCATCTGATGCAACTCGTTTCTAAGTAAATATTCCTCTCTTCGACAACTTAGACTATTCATTTTATTCAAATTTCCTTGTATATTATGCTGATTAATAGTACATAAACGCGTTGATTATCATACTCTATCAGGGTTCTCCCCAGGATGAAATTCAAACAGGGGGGAGGGGAGGGGGGAAGGGGGAGGGGGAGGGGGG